TCGTTTTGTACGCGGATCACGTGAGATTTCACCCGTGTCATCCCTATATAGAGAGTCTACCGACTCTCTAATAGTAACTGCAATTCCTCCTGTCTCTTGTAGTAGCAGCAGTTTCAAAGACGACCGTGTTCCGGAGCTGAGCCAAGTTGCAAATTACAAGTTGTCAGAAGTTTTGATGAAGTTCTCCACATATTCTGCATACTTCCTACTTTGCGGCCTCCTTCTGATTTGGCAAGGTACAGCTGTCACTGGCGACGCTATGCTACAGATTTTGGATTCCCAGATTTGTTTAGTATACTAAAATGTATGTCAGTATTTACTGGGAGAGAGACCTGCTCAGTTAGTGGTAAACGCACCCCTGGCTGTTGTAAAAGGATGACGTTGTGTTACGTGCATTGCGAGATTGTATGGGCTTTCCAGAAAGGTGTTGCTATACCTTCAGTGTTGGCAGCTCCAGTTGATTGCAAGTAGTGAATGTTCATGTCTCCCAGACAACGCTTGTTTAACACTCTGCCTACAAACGATTAAGACCACGGTATTGATGTCATTATTACAGGGACCAAAGCAGCAGAGGTTCGTTGCTTCCCCGAGGTACACTGCGAGGGAGAACTCATACAAACTGTATTTACTCCAAGAGAGTGCTGTATTGAGAATGCTATCGGTGTGTCATACGACTACAGTGGACAGATTGAGAAATGCCACACTTGTGAAGGTACATGTGTTCAAGTATCGCCTTCTTCTTTTGTGTACATATGCTCTAGCATATGTGTTGTTGAATAGATTCAAAATTAATACGCACTTCTGCTATAGTTCGTGTGTGCTTGCATGTGTGTGTCCTTATTCCTTTTCCTTTTGCTTTCCCATGTTTGTTTATAGGTTTTCACCTGAAAGCGTTATGCTTCCAAATAGTAATATATAATATATAGCTGGACAATAGCTCAATATACATACTTACTCAATGGAGCTCATTTGTTTCATACAGTCTTAGGATGGAGGAAGGCTCATCTGTATGCCGTAGAAAATACCGACATTTCGTTCATATTTGGAAATCTGAGAGGTGCTGCTGAGAACCAGTATATTTTGAAAGTGGAATATGTCTCCAACGAAGCAAATGCTGACGTTATCAAAGACAGTCATTTGACTGAGAATTTCGTATAGTGCCATTGATATAGAGGTGAAAGTCAGGCTACCTACATACAACAGTAGTGACAGGTACACTGCCAAGAACACCACACTTAGGATGGCCAAACGGCTCCCTGCATCCCTCGGCGAAGCACAATTCATCTATCCTGAAGAGGTCACCCTGCATGTCATTGGTGAGTTGGGTACAGTAAGAGTATGTAGCTAATTGCATCAATGTTCTAATGGGAGCATTACTCCATGAGTTCTTTGCTAGATAGTGCACTATACATACTAGCTGGTTGCATCTGCCTACAATTAACCATATTTCTTGAAGATATTTTGAATCTAGAGCTAGTGCCTCTTTTTACAGTTCCAGCGGTGAGTATTGAGAGGAGTAGCTACAGCATCGAGTACTCTGAGAACCTGGCAGTTACTGTCTGTCTCTCCTACGACAACACTGGAGGAGGCCACGCCCAGTTCAGCGTCAACGTCTCGGTTACTGGACAAGGTATTTATTATTGGGGTTTTTATTGTATGGGCACCATACGGGAAAGCACATTCACCTGCATTTCAACTTTCAGTTGGTGCGCAAGAGGTCACTACGTGTTGCACTTGCATTTGCCCAAATCCGTACTGACGGGGCATCCAAACATGTGTATATTCACATAGTCCAAAGATAACGTTACGACTATATTTTCCACAGATGGTGGTTTTTCCAAGACACACAAATTTGACTTCACCGCCCTCTCTGGAAGATCGTGTGACTCTGTCTCTCTCCCTCTCTCTGCCATCCACGACCCCTTCACTGACACCGTTTTCTCAGTTGCCATAGTACACCAGGACCAGTCTCCATTTGACCTGGGACCTAATTCTAGTGTCAGTCTTACCGTCAAAGCTCTGATAGGTATGAAATTTGAGAGTTTGAAAGAGGATTATATTCTGCCTAAATTATTAGCAGCAAATTCATACTCTTCCAACTTTTGTTCTGTGTAAGAGATGTTTACTAGCTAAGGTGTTTGATGCAATCGCAACTTTCCTTCACCAACAATGAAAGTGGGGTTATACGACAGCATGGGAAGGTTGTTGCTCCCATAGGAGCTAGATTGCATCAACAGTGGGCCAGTTGGGAAACACTTCATAACTGTCCATTGGACGAACAACAGCTCCCAATAGGTTGACTGGCTTGGGTTGCTACCGTTCTGTTTTCCACCTTCCTCCCATTAGCTACCAGTGGCCACAATCTTGTCTTCCCTGATTGACCAAGGCATTAGGGGCTTATTGAGGTTGTGATTACTGAGACTTTCTACTCTGCAATAGTAATAGACAATAATCTGTTGGTAAAGAGCACTGCTGCTTGGGTTTAGAGGAACATTGTATCGAAGCATGCAGTAACAACAAGTTACACACTCACTTTACAAGACATTCAGCATGTGTCACGAATACTCTATATATAGCGGTTGTTGTTTGTTTCATGTCGAAAGTCACGGGTTCTGCTATTTCCCCATATCAAAAGACTTAGAAAAACATTGCTCAATTAAGCACTTTACAGCAGGTAGTTTGGTGTTTATTTACAAACTATTGCAATTTGTTTTGCTATGCACACCTATCAGCTACAGTGCCAGAGGTGCAATTTGAGGAGAGTCAGATGACCTACACTCTCCCAGTGACTTCTATTGAGACTTGTCTTGTCAGAACATCACCAGATGAGATGAACACTACACTGCCACTTACTGTCAATGTCTCTATATCCAGAGGTTAAGAGATACAGATAAGAGATAGAGAGATCTGTATAATACTTATTTCCATAGTCTTCTATTACACTTTTGAGAAAGGAAAAGTTTTTGCAGTGTACATGCATGTGATGTGTCCTTGAAAATTAAGATTTTTTTTACTTGGCTTATATGGACACTGTGACTTGATATCTTTTCTTGCTGTTTGTTGTTGCAGACATGGGCTCTACTGCATTGTCAGAGATTATCGCAGTGGTATTTGTTGAAAACAGCACAAAGTCATGCCTGACAACCACTCTAACTTTGCCCGAACAACGCCCACAGAGATTAACACTGACCATTGTTTCAACGTTCAATATTTCGCCCTTCGAACTGCCAAAATTTAGAGTAGGAGGTCGTCGCAACACTGTGATAATGGTTGAAGAGGAGCCACAGCCAACCTTGGAGAGCGTTGGTACACCAGAGGGAGGGAGAGAGGAGGAAGGAGAGGGAGAGAAAGGGGGAGAAGAAGAAGAGGAGGGAGAGGAAGAGGTTGCTACAGGTAGTGGACACACACATTCAGAGTAAAAAATCCCTTCGCCATCCCTGTAATTGTAGTAAAAACCACGCACATGCTCAGCCGCCCACGCAATTATTGATATAACAAGTAAATAAAAAAAACTTCGTATTAAAAAAGTGTGGAATGTAGGGATGCCATAAAAAGCAAGGAGACAAGACAGGGATGACCTATAGTGATGCAGTAGTACAATGGATGATGGCTACATACTTTGAACTGACATCGCTTGCTCGTGTAAAATTTCCTCCACACAAGCCCTATATTGTCGCCACCTTTACTGTGAAATGCGAGGACAAGTGAAGTGCGAGGACAATGGTGAAATGTTTGTAGAACACAGCATTGTAAAACTGGTTAGTTGAGCAAATGTAGAAGAAGTCTTAGACTTCACACAATGTAGTCACAACTGAAAACCGAGCAGATGGTGTTGCCTGTCTAATGTGCTTATGAAATAAATCATAGATGTGCATCATACAAGGGAGCACACTCGTACTTTGCGACAATATAGGGCTTGCGTCGAGAGAGAGAGAGAGAGAGAGAGAGAGAGGATGTGGCGGTGGACATATGTAGTAAGAAAAGTTGAGGCTCTGAATGAGACAGTGGGATACTAATGAATGCAGGGTTTGAATAAGACATCCTGTGGGTTAATGATAATATGTGCATCCTGTGGGTTAATGATACGTGGGATTGTGGTAATGTGGTGATTTACAGTTTGTTGTTGGTATTGATGTTGAGAGTCAGTGTACGTAAAGCAAAGTCGTCGACCAACCCTCAATGGTCAATACCAACTACTGTTACGAACGTGGATAAAGCATAATACTCATGCTTATGTGCTACTCCAAAACACCTCATGAGCTGGCTACGTTTAGACGATAATTATTGTTCATGCCTCTAGTATGCAATAAGTGGGCAATAGCTGGCCCAGGTAATAATCCCATTGGTTAGAACTTCTGAACCAGCATTCATGTACCTATAGCTCTCTCTTTAGGCAGTTATTATAGCACGAACCATAGTGTTGCATTCATGTGTGTCAAAAATCATAATAATAACATTATTCTGGATTTCTCCCTCCATCTCATCCCTGTCTCTCAAAGCTGGTCTAAACCGAGAGTCTAGTGACAGCTCTGGTCCAGATTCCTGGGTCATTGGAGTGGCTGTTGCAGTCCCGGTTCTCCTGCTACTGGTTATGATCACCACCACAGTCATCATTGGTGCTCTGGTCTACCACTTCAAACATCCACCAGTACCACAAGACTCACATATTCCTCCTGAAAAAGCATAGCTTATGTATGATTGTGAATCTACACCAAGTGCAATGTGGTCAGTTTTATATATTATGATGCACATCAAAGTAGGGTTGGGGTCATTACACCCCGATGCATGCAGTGCTTTTTATGTAGCGCTGCTTCAAGATGTTAAGGCTGTTACTTATGCTTTTTTCGAACATAATGTCATTGATCTTGTAACTGTGTGTTGATCTTTCTATATTGATTAGTATTGTATTTGGTTTCCTCCTTTCTTGTACAATGAAAATGTGTCAGTCGCAGTGTACACTCTACAAAATGTGTCCAGTGATTCTCTGTTTCTCAAATGTGCGGCAAAATTCCCGCGCGCTCATAGGGCCGCGCATGCGCAAACTGTGTCGCTGCTTAGCAATTGGCCCCGCGCGCCCCTTGTCTGGTTTTAGTGCACGCGCGCCACAAGTAACCGCCTAGCTAGCTCTCGAGCTCTCCTGATCCTTAGCCCCAATTGTTACTTGCAGCAGCAGCCAAGCAAGTTACAAGAGGACCTCCCAGACTGCACGCTGCCGGTGAGCCTGCACGTAGGGAGATTATTGTCGGCGCGAACACGCGGAACGGATATGAGTTTCCTTCCGGATTAGTTGTTATAGCTAAGCCCCATTTTGTATGGATATCTGATGACATAGTTCTTAGCGGGGACTGTGATATGACAGTGCGTCCGTTTTGTATAACGAGAGCAACTTGTCTTCGCCGCTGCACAAAGCGAAGTATCCCTGCTAGACCAGACCAGACCAGACGTCATCTTGTCTCCGATGATATCCACATCAAAAGCTCCTGCTCCGTACTTTCTGCTACTCTGCAGTCTCCTCCCTTGGCAAGGTACAGTTGTAACTGCCTACGCTCTCCATGAATGCTACAAATTGTTTGAAATTATGGTGCACTTCAGTAGCTAACATAGTTACATTTCTGCTGGGGAGAAATGTACTTGGTGTAGCATGTGTGGGTCTACCTCATATCTGTTAGCACGCAAAACACCAAGAATGTTCAACGGGAGACAAAGCAATGCATGTGTCTTATCTAAGTTTCCTGTGTGTAGAAATCTTTGTAGGAGGTGTATATAGCTATTCTCACCATCTTCTGGTGGGGTTCTGACAACAATGATGAGTGGTGTTTGCCTAGACGTATCAACCATTGAGCAGCACACGTTTGCTTTGTGGAAGTGGTCGTTTAGGGTTTAGGGTGTGTCTGCCCTCTGCCTCTATGGCGTATGTGAATGTATACTACTGGTTTCATTATTATTACAGGGACAAGGGCAGCAGAGGTTCGTTGCTTCCCCGAGGTACACTGCGAGGGAGAACTCATACAAACTGTATTTACTCCAAGAGAGTGCTGTATTGAGAATGCTATCGGTGTGTCATACGACTACAGTGGACAGATTGAGCGATGCCACACTTGTGAAGGTATTGCTGGTGCACAACCAAATACTAAGACAAGCTTACCAAGAGCGTTAGTTTAGGATGTTTGTATTCCTTTCTGGAGTATGTTTGTAGGCTTCCTCCTCCCTGCTTCCCTTAAGTCTTTATCACAATCTTTATGGCAGAAGAGGTTGGAAGAGGTAGAAATTAGAACATCCTTATTACACAATAGCTGAACAATTGATGCCTTATTGGCCAATTAGAGCACACATGTTTGTTCTAACAATCGGAGGATGTAGAGGTTGCTATACTTGGTTTGTATGTGTGTCGTCTGTCTGTCTGCAGTTCTAGGGTGGAAGCAGGCTCACGTCTATGCCATTGAAGACTCTGTCATTTCAATCCCGTTTGGAGCAAACAGAGGTGCTGCGGAATCACGATCCATTTTCAACGTGGAATACATCTCCAACGAAGCCAACGCCACTATGCTTGACCAGAGAGTTTTGACTTTCGATTATATACAGTGCCATTGATATGGAGGTGAAAGTCAGGCTACCTACATACAGCAGTAGTGACAGGTACACTGCCAAGAACACCACACTTAGGATGGCCAAACGGCTCCCTGCATCCTCAGTGAAGCGCAATTCATCTATCCTGAAGAGGTCACTCTGCACGTCATTGGTGAGTAGAGTAGTCCTAGGGAGAATACCAAAAGATGCAGATGAGGGATGTTTTGTGATTTTGCAAGTTTCAGGATAGGATATCAGGAGAATTCACTGAATAGTACTACAGTTTGGTTTTACTATAAGGTAGTCAGCATTGACATACATAGATCCTTTGATCATACCTCTATTGACAAAATAAATGTGTACTTGTGCAGTACCAGAGGTGAGTTTTGAAAGCAGCAGTTACAGAGCAGACGTGACTGAGAACCTGGCAGTTCCTGTCTGCCTCTATTACGACAACACTGGAGAGGTTACGCTCAGTTCAGCGTCAATATATCGGTGGCCACAGAAGGTAAATTGCTATATATGATGCACATTTGGGGGGTTGTACAAACATTTTTATAACACCGCGAAGGTAAAAATATTGTTTTTATGCACATTTTGGTGTGTACCAAGAGATGAATGGAGATGTATGCATCAGTGGTGCACTTGCATGCAGTTCCTGCACAAGCTTCCTATGTTGCACATCATTACGCAAGCTCAGAAGCTCAACTATGTTTGGATTATGAAAGCAGTAAGGGAATTTCTATGTCTCCACAGGTGGTGGTTTTTTCAAGACATTTGACTTCACCGCCCTCTCTGGACGTTCTTGTGACTCTGTCTCTCTCCCTCGCTCTGCCGTCCACGACCCCTTCACTGACACCGTCTTCTCAGTTGCCATAGTACACCAGGACCAGCCTCCATTTGATCTGGGACCTCATTCTAGTGCTAGTCTCATTATCAATGCTCTGAAAGGTATAGCCACATGGAATTGAGCTACAAACATGGGCTATGGTTGAGAATTATTCTGTATATACACTCCTTTCTGTTGACTACGGACTTCCAGAGTTGTCTGGTACAAATGTGCAAGCCCCCATTTTTGGTAGCCAGCTGTGCTGTATTGTCATAATGGCAAAGTCATTGTTGCTGCATCAGGTGACAGCAGGTCAGGTACAGGATAAGTTCCATAAAGAGAGTTACCAATTGTGAACTACATGCCACCTTAGGTATTGGAGATATCCAGTAGATATTGAGCCACTGACCTCTGTGCTATTAATGAATATGACTGTAAGTGGCCAACTCGGACCATCTGTCTTAACTATTAACCAGCGAGGGATGGGGTGAATGTGTATAATATGGCCTTTAGCAACACTAGCAGCTTCTAATGGTCTTTGGTTCCCAGAGAACAGTTGCCTAGTTGAGCCAATGAGGCAGCTGAGCTGTTTCTCTAGTAACTCTGTGTGCCTGGTCAGCCACTTTATCAAGTGTGTGTCTGGTGTCTGCAAAGCATAGGCACCAGGTGTTTTCAAGAGCTGTTTACTGGCTCCTCTCTTACTCTTGGGAATGTTATTCTCCATTATTGGGACTTTATTATGTGTAGATCTTGCTGCATTCCTGTGGGAGATGTATATATGTCTGCAAACTGTTTTTTGTCATTCCTGTATTAATTACTTCACATAGCATTTGCCAAGCATTTGCCTCAAGGGGCATTACTTCATTTCCCTCGATTAATGCTGAGTGAGGCATTAGGGTTTTATAGAGCCTAATTATTGCTGTGTTGTAGCTTCCACTCTGCTTATGACCACTGAATCTAGCATGTCATTCTATAGCCCTTGTCACACTGCATGCATCACTTTCAATTTCTCAGTAATCCAGAGTGTATCTTACGCCAATGACTGTTTTTCCTCTCCAACTTCCAATAGGCAATACCCCTGACTCTTTTTTAGAATAACATTACACAGTGGACATGCCATTTTAAGTTGCTGTTTGTGCAGAGTCATTCAATAACATTTCAGTTTCAGATTGCAATTGTGCAGGTGGTAATCATTCCATTTTTTTGCTTATCCAGTACCAGAGGTGCAATTTGAGGAGAGTCAGACGACCTACACTCTCCCAGTGACTTCTATTGAGACTTGTCTTGTCAGAACACCACCAGATGAGATGGACAGTACACTGCCACTTACTGTCAATGTCTCTCTATCCAGAGGTAAGATATGGAGAAGAGATAGAAAGATCTGTAAAATACCTTTTTCTCTAGTCTTCTATTGCACTATGTAGAAAGGAAAGGTTTTTGCAGTGTACATGCGTGTGATGTGTCCTTCAAAATTAAGATTAGACAGTAGGCAAATAAAACTCAGTTTTTTTACTTGGCTTATATGAACACTGTGACTTGATATCTTTTCTTGCTGTTTGTTGTTGCAGACATGGGGTCTACTGCATTGTCAGAGATTATCGCAGTGGTCTTTGTTGAAAACAGCACAAAGTCATGCCTGACAACCACTCTAACTTTGCCCGAACAACGCCCACAGAGATTAACACTGACCATTGTTTCAACGTTCAATATTTCGGCCTTTGAACTGCCAAAATTTAGAGTAGGAGGTCGTCGCAACACTGTGATAATGGTTGAAGAGGAGCCACAGCCAACCTTGGGGAGTGTTGGTACACCAGAGGGAGGGAGAGAGGAGGAAGGAGAGGGAGAGGAGGGAGAGGAAGAGGTGGCTACGGGTAGTGGAGACGATATAGAGCTGGATATTGTGGGAGATGGTGAGTTCCTGAAGCATGTAGGATGTATGTGGAAAAGCAGCCAACACTAGAATCTTCAATGGGTGGAGCCAGCAATATTTGCTGAAGCTAGGATGTATGTGGAAAGAAGCCAACACTAGAATTATCAATGGGTGGAGCCAGCAATATTTGCTGAAGCTAGGATGTATGTGGAAAGAAGCCAACACTAGAATTATCAATGAGTGGAGCCAGCAATATTTGCTGAAGCATGTGGAAAAGAAGCCAACACTAGAATTATCAATGAGTGGAGCCAGCAATATTTGCTGCACTAAAGTGCATAATCATAATGACCCACACACACTAGCACCTGTTGTATGTTTTAGGGCAAAATGTGTAGTGACCTCATGATTGTTGGCTCTGGTGTTTGAACACCTGGTAATGTCGCTAATGGAGACAGCATGTTGTCAAGTGTCGAACTTTGTACTGCACTGCAATGCTTCTTGTCCCTCCACCCTCCCTGCCCGCCTCAGATGAACCCTCACCAGGAGACAATGTTGCTTTAAACAGTGGTCCCAGTGACAACAATTCAGACGGAATCTCTCTGATACTGGGATTGTCAGTCACGGCAGGTGTTCTGCTGTTGGCCATTGCCATAGTTTTCATCATAGTGGTAGGAGTATGGCTCTACAGTTATCACTACGGGACTTATGGACCATCATCACATGAACGAACAGGGTCAAAAGACCCATGTATTCCATTTGAAGACTCTAAAGCATAGCTCAATGACATGTATGACACTTGTGTGTTTTGTGTGTTCAACAGGTATATAAATTTGCGTTACTAGACTGACCTGCGCTAAGTTCCTGCGCATGCCCGGGATCGAGCGACGCCTACCGATGGGGGTGTGGCTTGTCAAACCCCGCGCATGCGCCGCTACCCGCGAAGCTCGCACACGCGCATGTTGCATGTGCATTGGACGGTGCAGCGAGCGAATAATGGCTGCATCTCTCAGTTTTGTATTCTCCTCTGCGTTCTCCTGGCCAAAGCTTGCTTGCGCAGGGGCCAGATCTTGGAATCTCAGACACTAATCCGCCGCGACTCGTCGTCGGGCGCTGCAGCGGACCCACTGACGGGGACGTCCGCTGCTACCTCTCCACGGGCTGTCGCGGAGGACTTAGCGGAGACGACGTGTCGTCCGTTGCGGAATGCTGCGGAGGAGTGGGGCTGTCGTACTGCGACAGAGACGGCTGCGGAGATTGTTACAGTGAGTTCGTCATCTGTTGGCTGCGGTGATGTTTTAGATGAGATTTTTGTGGTTCCGCTGTAACAGCTCTGTTTCTTTTCTGAGGTGTTCAGATCTACAGGATTGTATCATGCAAAACGGTGTTGTAGGCCAACAGTGATTTAGGGCATGTAGTATGGTCAGTCCAATAATAGATCAAGAAAATGACTATAAATTATTAGATCGTGCATTTTAGATTTTAGTCCTTTGGTGTAAAAGGCAGCAAGTAAAGTGTCAGATAATAGAGTCGATATTTTTAGTGTTAGCTTCATCCAAATAATTGCGAAGGTTTCCGAGTGAAAAAATTTATCTTTCACGTTAACTGATTCAGGTGATGAGGCATATTCAGCGTCGGGGGGGGAACAAGGGAGGGGGGGTTTTGGTTGGAAATGGAGGGGTGCGGGGGAGGGGATGGGAGGGTACGGGAAAAAAGGATAGGAGGGGAGGGTGGTGCGGGGGTGTGCGCGGGGGGGGGGGTTGGGTGGCGCTAAGCGGGGAGTGGGGGTGGCGTGGGGGGTTGGGAGGGATTGGGTGGTGGGGGGGTTGGGGGGGGGGCGGGTGTTGGGGGGGGTGGTTTCCCTCCTGGGGGGGGTCTCGGGGGGGGGTTCTTTTCTATCTGGGAGGGGTCTCAACAACCTACGCTTTCAGTCTCGTCTCTCGCAGGCAAACTTTAGGATCCAGATCACCTCTGATGACCCCCTGGAGCCCGCCGACGTACTAGTCACGTACGATGGTAACGAAGAGGGGACCCGTGTCGTCGTGGAACCAGGGGAGACAGAGAGCGTTGAAGTGGAGTTTCTCAGCGGGGAAATCGGGATCGGTGATCGGGACAGGGCGGTGGTTGTCCGATCGCTCAATGGGGCGAGTGTAAGCAAGGGGTGCTGAGCGAAGAGAAACTCCGAGTGCTGACCACGTTCGCATACTACCAACATGGCACTCGCTCGTCGAAGTCTTGCTGTATCGCTACCGACTTCGTCCGAACCCAATCGAGTATTTTAGCAGTTGTCGAGGACCCTCGACTACACGAGTTCCGTTGCCGCGCTGTTCTGAGAGAGGCGTGTCAGGCCAGACATAGAGGATTTGTTTGCTCACAGATTGAAAGAGACAAAGTAGCTTTTTGATAGTCACCA